TTGTTAATGAACTAATTTTACAACATTATCTATATTATCAATATCGTCACTATCCCTATGATGAAGTACCCAGAAAATCATTAACCGTATTTGGTTTTGGGACGATATTTCTGTTTTCCATAAAGTCTCTGCCATCAATATAAATCTGAATTTTTACTTGAATACTTCGCATTTCCAAACTTGCATTCTATTACTTAGTTACTAATTATTTAGTTGGACGTGAGTCGTCCTTGGCCGCATCTAGTGGCCTCCGCTAGCCAGCCCGATCAGTAGCTTGCTATCGCCAGTTGGTAGTACCGAACGTCCTCAAATCGTTGATTCCCTGGTTCTTTTACTGAAGATGCGAACGTCCTCTACTGTGTTTTTCATCTGCGAGTATCGATTCAAACACCTTTCTAGTCAAAACACTTTCTTCCATTCGCACAACATGAGTAAGCAAGTGAAGCCGTTGAATTTTTATGCGCTGAACTATGTCAATGTCGCGATATAGCTCATAGAGCTCATCGTGCCATTTAATTCGTTACTCGAAGATATTCGATACTACATAGATTTCAAATCTCAAAGATCTCAATGAATTTTTCTCTCGAATACTCTTAACGCCTTCTGATCACATAAACAGGTTTAAGTCAAAAGTTCTTATGTAAAATTTTAATGAATTTTTCTCTCGAATACTCTTAACGCCTTCTGATCACATAAACAGGCTTAAGTCAAAAGTTCTTATGTAAAATTTTGATCATAAAATCCATGTTAGATTGTTCCAATTTAACTTTCTTTATTTCTTCTTTTCTCCACAGAATCTAAATTCATAAAAGTAACTTTCACTAGTTTTATTGATCTCATCCTTCACAGTTACCTAGGTGCCTATGTGCTTATTAGTAATTTTATACTAATTCTTTATTTGGTGACAAATCATGGAACTTTACATATCACCCGAAGTATCTTTGCCTGATACATTCGCAGAATTTCAATATTTGAATTATTGGTGTTACCTTGTACCTTGTATGTGATGTCCAAACTATTGCTTTCTGAAGCATTATTTCATTCTTTATGCTGAGGAAGGATTAGAATTTTAACATAAACCAAGGTATTTAACACTGCTGCTTTGATATCTCAAATTTTTAACCAATTTTCTATTTTGTGTCATTTAACTAGTCACACCTAAGTTTTGATTTGACATTAAAGAGAAATTCATATAAATTTCTATAAGTGTTGACTTAATACCCAATATTATCCGAGTATTTAACATAAGTGTACATTTTAATTGACATTTTAATTTCCAATACGAAATTATCGTATCCAACATTTAACATAAGTGTTACTTAACTTAATTATGCATTGTATAACTGTTCTTTAATCTAAGATATATGTAGCTATCAGAACATTATTTACTTTATGTTGTATATATTTCCTATATAAATTGTTTACGTTTCAATTTCTAACATTTATATTCCAAAAATCACATACAGACAACTAAAACAATAGATCTTTTTAGAGACCACTTATGATGGATATTTTATGTTATCCAAAATAACTGTATGGTCAACTGAACTATATGTTATATTTAGAAATAGGATAGTGAACCTTATAAATAGAGACGCTAAAGCTATATTTTAAACATTTAAGTCACGTCATGGATCTGAGTGACAATAGACTCCCTAAAATTCTGGCATGTTTCCTCTTAAATACGAAGAGAGGTCTTTTCGAAAAGTGGCAATCTATAGCTAATGTAGATTGCTGCTCGAAAAAGAGAAGTATATGGTACTTTGCAATAAAATATAGTGATAAAAATATGGTGAATGAAAGAGAAAAATTTATAATGGCAGCAAGAGCAAATAATTATAGACATACAGACGGTTGGGATATAAATCACGTGACCAGACTTATTTTATGGATGATATACCATTGAAACTATCAGCCAGATTTTTGAAACTCGGAGTGAACTCCTTACATTAAATTATAGAATACATGTACAAATCAATTCAACACATTGATCATTGTATGATCTAGAGCAGGCTAAGGACATAATACACTTTATTGGGTTATATCCAATTCTGAAAGAAACGCGCCACAAATTCTATAGGAAACTCACTCTTACAGAAGAAAAAATAATGGATGTATTAAACCGGGAAAAGTGGGCCGCACTTTCTGACTTTGTAAAAGATGCAACTAGTTACAGGCAAAGAATAATAGATGAAAACTTTTAGATTTAAATAAAATAGAATAAGAATAGGAAGAATAATTACAATTCCTTACGTACTTAGTTTGTTGGCAGACGGCATTTAAGCCATATTGCCATTAGTTTAATAATTAACAATTTATTTATACATATCATAAATGAACGTGTAAGGTTAGTTTTAAAATTGAAATATTATATTGATTTTGCACTAAAATAAAAATCCTATACTACTACAACTGATCAACTGAATTGACCATACTACTTACTATTCACTAGAATTCACTAGATTGAAAATTCAAAATTTTTTTTCAATTTCAAAAATTTCCTTACTGTTAACTCCTTTGCTATTCGAAATAGATTCCTTGTCGTGGGACAGAAATAAATTCTTTTACTCTGTATTAACTCTGTATTATATATAGTATTTCTTCTATATAAATTGTTTAAGATTAAATTCCTGACGTTTGTAGTCCAAAAATAACATACAGGCAATTAAACCAATAAATCATTTTAGAGACCACTAATGATGGATATTTTATGTTTTCCGCAATAGCTGTATTGACCTTATTACTATTTACTGGATTGTACATTCAAACATTTTTTTGAATTTAAAAATTTCCTTACTATTACCCCTTTTGCTATTCAAAATAGATTTCTTGTCGTGGGACAGAAATAAATTCTTTTACTATGTATTAACTATATATATATATTATAGTATATAGTATTTCTTCTATTGTTTAAGATTCAATTCTTGACGTTTGTAGTCCAAAAATTACATACAGGCAATTAAACCAATAAATCTTTTTAGAGACCACTAATGATGGATATTTTATGTTTTCCGCAATAGCTGTATTGACCTTATTACTATTTACTGGATTGTACATTCAAAAATTTTTTTGTATTTAAAAATTTCCTTACTATTACCCCTTTTGCTATTCAAAATAGATTTCTTGTCGTGGGAATGAAATAATTATTTTTACCAGAACATTATAAACTCTGTACTATATATAGTATGTCTTCTATATAAACTGTTTACGGTTGAATTCCTAGCATTTGTAGTCCAAAAATCACATAGGTATAGGTATAGGTTGGAGTGGCGGCCTTGTATCCCAAAAAGCCCACTTAAGCACAAATAAAGGCCCGTTGTGGTACCACAGGAGTTACGTTATTTGTATATAGATTTTAATCAGTATACATTTAACGCCGAAAGAAAGGTAACGACTCCCCCATTATGCAAAGGAAAACCAACCTGACAGTTCTATGAACTTGGCTAGGTCCCTAACATTACAGGATGACAACTCAGTCAGGTCAGTTAGAAAAGGAGATCCAAGGATTTTTAATCTTCTTCTGGCTAGGGAAGGGCACTGACACATGAGATGGAGTACAGTCTCCTCCTCATCCTCAGAGCCACAGCCTCTACAAAAGTCATTAAAGGGGAGACCCAGTCTCATAGCATGCCTTCCTATTACGCAGTGTCCCGTCAGCACAGATACCGTAGTGCTGAGCAGGTTCCGTCTTAGTTGAAGTAGCTGACGGGTTCTTTTCTTGTCAAAGTTCGGCCAAGTCAACCTAGAAATCTGACATTGAGGTTCGTCAGCCCAGTATTGCTTGGCTATACTCAGGTATTTTTGTATGATTGCCAGTTTAGCTGTAGCAAGAGGGACGCCTATATCAGAGAGAAAAAAAAAAAAAAAAAAAAATCACATACAAAACAATAGATCTTTGTAGATGGGTATTTTGAGATATCCAAAATAGCTGTATTGACCATACTACTATTTACTGGATTGAATATTCAAAGATTTTTTTGAATTTAAAAATTTCCTTACTTGTCATGGAACAGATATAATTGTTTAATATAAAATGTCTATAGAATCAGATCTAACCAGATTACTATTTGTTAGCCTTGCTCTAATTTCAGATATGTTCAACGCTTCAGCATTAACATTTATCTATCCAAAATATTATGACTTCAAAGGTGACTTCAAAGATTAAAGTCTTTAAACGAAAATTGTTGATTTTTTCCATGAATCTCTTTAAGGAAGTGTTAAGGTCTCGATGTTATGTGTTAAGAGTTTTCGTTGTCTCGCTAGTCGGTGTAATTTTTACCCGCTGATCTAGTGACTAGCTAACATCTTAGTGGCTTTTAGGTAACATATCATTGGTCATCTTATGCATTTAAAAGTGTACAAATTTTAATGGAACATAAAAATCTAAATAAAATACTTATTCCGTTTTCATTTAAATATTCAAATAAAATCGAAGTCGTGAGCAACGAAACACTTTTGCTTTCCTCTGCATGCAAATTGTGATGTAACATATATCCATCGTACAATCGGTTATCGCACAGTAAACAAAGTCTAGTGTCCAATCGTCGGAGAAGAAAGAAAGCTATAAAATGGCATTAGCAGCATTAGCTGCATTTGGCACAAGTTGCCTTGTTTAATGATTCCAACCTGACCACCTATAAAATATGATGCAACACTTGTTGAAGCTTCAGTCAGTTCGTATTCGTTGACGAAGGTGCATTTTCAGTTGCATTGCGGATTCATTGACGTCATTTGCCTGTAAATAGAGAAACAACCAAGACGCGAACTGAAAAGTGGAAACGAGTTGGGTGTGCGCACTAATTCGAAAATACATAAAAAAGTCCAAGAAAAATTATAGTGAACTAAAAATAAAGTAAATTAAGACGTACGTTATTTACTAGTTTTTCCACAACACAACAAAAACAGCATCAACTGGAAAATTAACACAAGCGATAAAGACAAGGAAGACACATGCATTTATTAGCTTAAAGTGCCATGATTTCTAGAAAGTGAAAGTGGCTGTTACATTTTCCGCAAGTGTGAAGTATTTCCATTGACCACAGCAACGGAAAAATGTTTTACGCGGCAATATTCTTCACAACACTTATACTAATTTTCCTCTTGTGGGGTGTGAGAAAACCTCCAAAGTTTCCGCCCGGTCCTAAATGGTATCCAATCGTTGGTTGTGCGTTGCAGATATCGCAGCTGCGTGTGCGTTATGGCACATTCTGCAAAGTGATCGATGAGTTGGCCAAGTATTATGTAAATCCCTATGGCTTATATGGCTTGAAGATAGGCAAAGATAAACTAGTGATTGCCTACTACAATGACACCATTAACGAAATGATGACTAATGAAGATATGGATGGGAAGCCGGATGGCATTTTTTACCGTACACGTACTTTCAATTCCAAAAAGGGTATCCTAGTAACTGACGAAGAGTTTTGGGTTGAGCAGCGACGTTTTATATTACGTCACTTGAAGGATTTCGGTTTCGCACGAAACGCAATGGTTAATAATATACAGAATGAGGCTGGTTATCTAGTGGATGATCTGAAGCAACGTATACGCGATCACGGCGGTAAAAAAGCGCGTGTAACAATGAAAGATTTGTTTACAGTGTATGTGCTGAACACGTTGTGGACGATGTTGGCAAGTAAGCGTTATGATCGCAATAGTCATGAAGTGGCGGAATTGTTGAATATGTTTTTCGAATTGATGCAGAATGTGGATATGATTGGTGCACTTTTTAGTCATTTTCCATTTATGCGTTTTATAGCACCAAATTATTCGGGTTATAATCGATTTGTAGAAACCCATCAACGCTTCTATGCTTTCATACAGAAGGAAGTTGATAATCATAGAAAAACATTTATGAATAACGCCATTCCGCGTGATTTGATGGATACCTACTTACGTGAGCTGGCCGATCCAAATCATAAGGACTCTTTCAGTGAAGAACAATTAATGGCTGTATGTTTAGATATGTTTTTGGTCGGTTCGGAAACGACAAATAAAAGTATTGGCTTTGCTTTCTTACACTTAGTACGCAATCCAGAAATACAAGAAAAAGCATTTGCAGAAATAAAAGAAGTTGTGGGGCTTGAGCGTTTGCCAGAGTGGAAAGATCGTCCTAAATTAATATATTGTGAAGCGATTGTTTTAGAAGCACTGCGCATGTTTATGGGGAATACTTTTGGTATACCACATCGTGCGTTACGCGACACTCGCTTGAGCGGCTATGAAATACCAAAAGATACTATGGTTGTGGGATGTTTTCGTGGTATGTTAATGAATGCACATGACTTTCCCAATCCCAGCAAATTTCAACCTGAACGGTACATTGTTGATGGCAAGCTTAAAGTTCCAGAAGCACACAATCCATTCGGTTTTGGTCGGCATCGTTGTATGGGCGATATTATGGGGCGACAGAATTTATTTTTATTTACAACTGCAGTTCTACAAAATTTTAAAATTTTACCATTACCTGGTGAATTGCCTGATGATGAACCCTTGGATGGTGCTACAGCTGCTGTGAAACCTTATGAAGCTATACTAGTTCCCCGTTGTGGTGTTATGGATTAATTGGTAAAGCTTAAAACATTTGATTAATAAAAAAAAATAAATAAATTGTTTGCTATTTGTTGTTTAAAAAATTGTTAATTTTACTAATATATACTAAAGGACTTGTAAGAGAAAATATGAAATTAGAGTAAACAGGAAACGAGCTTGTAAAAAAAATCCAATTCAATTCGAACGTTGTGTCAGACCCAGAAAGCGGGACAGCAAAGAGACATATTATGAAATTTGTCTATAAGCAAAGAGATAGCATAAACCCAAGCAAAAAAAGGGTATTTAAAAAAAAAGTAATAAATTGCTATTTTAATAAACCTCTGGACTGGAATAAATAACATTGCAACATTGTTAACGACAGCAAGAGATAGAGAAATATATCATGAAATTGCAACAAATTAATATTAAATGGAACGTAAAATCAAAAAAAAAAGAATTAATGTGATTCTTATTGTAATTATTTAACAAAGTATTCGTTAAATCATCATCATGATCATCCATAACTATACAGTCCATGTAAGAACTAAGCTCGTCCTCCATACTTTTCTGTTTTTGGCTTTTATCCTCCAGTTGATAACATTCATATCTGTCAGATCTTGTCGTACAGTGCAACTCCATATTTTTCTCGATCTTCCTTTATTTCTTGTTATTCTAATTTCTTTTTCGAAGATTCTGGTTGCATCCGCCCAACGTGCCCTACCGACTTCAAACGTTGCTGTTTTATATGCTTGATTATTGTGTCACCTCCCATCAGTAGATCGGGGTCAGATATAATGATATTTTATGCGATATTCTTTGCTTTCTTGTACTGGTCCAAATACTTTTCACCAATAACATAGAAAAAATTTTCAAAAAAAATCAATAAGTAGATAAGAAAATTTAATATGCAATAATAGTGCTTGGAGTAGTTTATCTACAAAATACACAAAACTAACTATTAAAACATTATGAAGACAGATTGTCAGTTTATGTGCAGTAAAAATTCCAATCTGTTTTAAAAACTCCCAAACTAAATAGTGTATAAATATTCTCATATGATGATATCTCTTCATTTATTTTCTACACATTCTCCATATGTTAATATATTAAAAATAAATTTAATTGCCTTTCACCCACTTACCGAGCCGAAATGCTCAAACTTACGGATAGATGCATATCAGTCGATGCATCTATCTACCTGCGTATAGTGCTGGAAAAGATCCGGGTACGTGCTTATGTCTTGTGTTCGCACTCATATGGCGCTTGGCTGTTGTCTTCGCACACAGCACACGCATGTGTGTACGTACGTACGACAATTGTGTGAAACCCTTTTCCGGTTTTCTTTTTCCCGCCCTAATTAAAGATTTGGTATTTTGAAGAGGATGTTAAAACCCAAACAAAAAAATTTCCCTCATAAATTAATAACATAATGTGTATTCCCAGTTTTCTTATTTTTTGTTTTGTTTTTGAAATTTTTGCATATGAACTCTCATTATATATGGTCAATATTGTATCATTAAAATCTTGATATATAATCTGGAAAACATCTTAACAACATAACACGGAATTCGAGCTATGATATAGCAATAACGATACAAAATAAACTTAGAGGAAGTTTATATTTTTTTTTTGTATTGTAAGATATGTTTAACAGGTTCGCAATTATATTTTCAATTTAAAAAAATTGTTAATAATTTAATAGTTTGTTAATAAAACAATGTTTAATATAGCATTAGTATCTCTGTTTTGATCAATAACCACTAAAGGAACTAAACATTGCTTGAAGAAAGTTTAGAGGTTATCATTTAGACCAGGGCTGTCCAAAGCACGGCCCACTGGAATTATGTGACCCGTGGCTTATATATATGCGGCCAGTGACATGCTTCTAATCCGCCACAATTAGGTTAAATTTTCTTTATTATATTTTGATAACTTCACATTATTTTATTTTTATGGTAATTCAAACAAAATAAAGTAAATATTGACAATAACTTTGGTACAACGTATGACAACAACTAATTTTAATAATGTAGATATTGATAGAATTATGAAAGATAAATTAATGAAGAATTATTAAAACTAATTTTAACATTATCACCGACTTTTTATATTTCTCCGGCAAAATAATGAACGTATGTATTTATTTCTGCGGCCCTCCAACCTATTCAGTGATTTAAATACGCCCGCGATCATATCTGGTCTGGACAGTCCTGATCTAGACGAACTTATTTTACTCAAACACAAACTCTTTAAGAAATTCAGGAACTGGATTAAAAGAATTCAACGTTGCTAAATAATTAGTAAAGTGTAAAGAAGCTGAGACACATCAAGAAAACAACACATTTTAATGACTCCAAATAGTGTTTCTTTGTCCACCAACTGTTTTTAATGGATCTCAACATTGTTGAAAATAAGTTTAGAAGCTCTCACCAATTATTAACCTCAAGTCCATTCGCCAAGTATGGAATAGATTTGGGTGTTTCGGGTTAGGCTAAGGCCCCTATGCACTGCAACCAGTTTGATCTATTGTGTACCCCTTTGTATTTAGTTATTTAATATCTCGAGGAATCGAACCAGCTCCTTTGGTGGGAAGACTTTCGAAAGTCTTCATTAATTACAAATGGTTTCAATCATCCTAGAAGTATTAGGTATAATCCATTTTTAACATTTTTATTTAACACGCATTATAAATCATTATATTTTCTATTTTAATTAGATTTCTTAATAAAATCGAATCTGTCATTGCACCCATACTCATTTCTTAGTTTATCTTATGTCTTTGTTTCTGGAGAAGAGCTGTTAGTCACTATTTATTTATGTTGTTTTTGTCTGACTATAATTAATATATGGATTAATCTTAGCTTGAAATCTTTTGTGTCCAACTTCACCTCTTTGGACACCTCTTTGGGTGATTTTGAGTTTGAGTCATACTAATTTTACATACCATATTTTCTCAAGATTTTTCTAAATATTGCTATTAATTCCATATAATTCTAACTATCATTAAGAACTTTATTTTTTATGCTGTTCTTATAGATTTTCACTTTGAAAATTGACACAATACTAAAAAGATTGATATTGTCAATAACATTGACAGTACTGTGGTTCAATATTAACTATGAACCGGATAAATTTCTATAATGATTCGGTTGAGTGTAGTTCCATAGTATTCTGAAATATTGTTATCATTGATCAACCATTTTTTTCATGCAAAGGTGTAATAGTTGAATGAGTGGTTACTAGTATTATACTGAAAAGTCAAATAGACCGATTTAAAAAAAATGAAGATCACATAGTTGTTTTGAATATTAATAAATATTAATATTAAATATTATTTTCAATTATTTTCTTATTTTATTTTTAATTATATTTTATTTTAATGAATATTTTCAATTTTTAATATATAATATTAACTATTAAAACCATCAATAGTCCTTGAAAATATTTAGTAGTTTAAGAGTTCATATATAATTTTTAGACTACAGAGACCATAATTTAATCTGCTATAATAAGTTTTGTCAATTTTTGTTGTTTATTCATAAACTGACTATATATGGTAATTATTATTTTATTAAGTCAAACTAACGCATAAACCACAGTTATATAAATTTACTTTATTGCTAATAAAGTTTTTATAAATAAATTTTATAAAGAGGCTTTCTCGAAAAGTAGTGAACTACAACAACAAAAATTCTTTTTTATATTATTTTAATTAATTGAATTTATGACTGACCATACAGCTGTTTCGAGTATTGTCAAATATCCATCATCAGTGGTCTTGATAATAATTCTTGTATTTGATTATTCGTAAATAATTTTTCAAGACTGCAAGTACCAGGAATCGAATGCGTGTCCTACCAAATTTGAAGCTCAGAGCCAGCGCTCCTTAACCAACTGACCCAAAGCCGTACTTGACTTTTATATTCGCACATTTTTCTGGTTTTGGCTAATTTACTGTGAAAGTTTTATTAATATATTCAATAGCTTTGTTTATATTAGAACGAAATTATAAACCAGCTACAGATTAATTGAATTATTTAATTATATTTTTTATTTTTAATTATTAAATTTCAATAGTATTCTGTTTGTAGAGGCATTATTTGTTGCATGATTTATATATTCTTTAATATGCGAATTTTATCTATAAAATTTTACTAATAATTTATAAATTTATAATTAAAATTATTGTCGTTGTCAAATTTGCGAATGAATGTTTCTTCATATTGTACTTTCATTAGATTACTTACATCGTCTAAGCCTGTTTATAGAGTTTTTGCTTGAAGTCGAGTTCTATAGTCGCTTTCAAATTATAAAGATATTTAAAGTGTTTGGGATCAAGCGATTCCAGCATCTCAACCATATGTACTTAATCAAAAGAAGATTAGCTCTCTTCTTCTATAACATATCTGTATAACGTGTAGATGATAAATTTATGGGTACCTTCCAGATTCTATTATTCTATTCTTTAAATTAATGGGTAGTCTCCAAAATATAAATTAATTATAAAAAACAAGTATTGAAATCTTTCACTTCTGTTTGTTGACAATTCACAAAAGACTGTCCTATTAAATATACATAAGAATGTATTATTTAGTAGATAAAACTTTACAAATTTTTAATACAAACGGGTTATTACCGTTTAAGGGAGTATCATAAACCTTTTGGTTGCATAATATTTATATGATATGAACTAAAATTGACAATAATCAATGCCACGTAATTATTTCCTTTTACAATGCCCGAAGTGATGAGCACAAATCTTAAGATCAAGAAAGACAAGCGTGAAAAGATATTACCTGACACAGAATTTCTTAAGTAATCCATGGTTTCCTTATAATTATAAGTAAATTGATAGTGCAATGACATCAAATACTTATGTTAACATATATCGCGACTTTCACTTTCAATAATTCCATAAAAGTCCACGCATATTGCATAATATTTCCCAATTCCGCCAGGTTGCAGATGTGGTATGGGCTTTCCTTAATGCCGATTTGTGCCATTTGAAGTGCCATTTGAAGTGCACATTATCTGGCATTATATTGGCTTTGGAAATGTTTAAAAACAAACTCGCACATTATGACTATTGTTCATTAATTGAACTCAATTGTATTACATACAAAAACATCAAAACACTATAAAAGGATTAGCCGCAGAGAAAGCGAAAAATTTTGGAATATTGTCTTTTAAGTGGCAAATTAATATCCCTCTTAACTGTTCGCTCTTCCAGTTTTCCACAATAACAATAAGGGAAAACCGCAATTTGTGAATGAAATAATGCGTCAATTCATTAAGAAATTCCGTAATAAGCCTATCCCTATACGTGGGAAAATTTAAATTTAAGGATTTTTACCTACCGCGGTAATGACCTGATATTGCGCTCATGTACGTATGGGTTTTTATGCACCAGAGGGGATTCGTACTCGGATTGGATTTAAAGCAAAAAAGAAAACCAAATAAACGATCGAAAAAAAATACGAAAATTTCAATATGAAGGGAAATTCGGAAAGATCAAAATTCCAGATTTTATCGTAAGTAATTTTTTCATTTTTCGAACATATGAGGCAAATCAGTCAGTTATATATGCATATGGCAGGCACTTGAGCGCAAACTACCTAAGCGGTATTTTGCTACAAATAGCATAGCTATGAGCTGGGATCACTCATTCTTTGAGCACACTTTAAACTGAACGGATAGTCAAGAACTGCGTATTGATAACAGAAAACCGAAAACTGAAAACCGATAATATGTCATACTTCTATTCTATTCTGTACTCTGTCTTTGTCTGTATTCTAACAGTGACAATGGTGGAGACGGCTACGCTTATGAAGCACTTAAATTACTTCAACAATCAAAATCCTTATAGCACAGAAATTGTAAGTCAAAATTTTTAAAGAAAAATTCACAGACAATAAAATACTTATACCATTTTTTATTATCTTTCATTTTTTTATAGTTTCAAGCTTCATTTTCATTGGAAAATGTCATGGGTAACAGTATTGAGTTGGCGTTACAAAGTTGTCAGCAGAGTTTCAAGTGGTCGCGTTGGAATTGTCCAAGTACCGATTTCTTCATGCGTCGCACCTCTAAGCCACTACAACTGGATCGTGAGGATGCTTATGTTACAGCCATTGCAATGTCTGCGATACTATATACCATCACAAAGGATTGTGCAAGTGGGCTTATCAATGATTGCCGCGTTAGTAAGGAAAACTCCATAGTCACGCAGTGTGCAGAGGATCCAAAAAAAGCATTGCAAATTTATGAGCAACACATTGGAGCTATAACGTTTAACAGTGATTTCCATGGTTCTGTGTTAAAACATAACCACAAAGTAATAACGAATTTATTGAGTAAATCTCTAGTGCAGCAATGCGGTTGTGCTTCTATGGGTGTAACAGGCTGTACCAACGAGATCTGCATAAATGTGCTGAAGCCTTTTGCGGAAATTGCCGCTGATATATATCAAATGTATGAAAACGCTATAGAACTGAATAATAATTTTATAAATTCCCGTGTTATTTGGGAAAATGTGCCATTGGATTCATTAGTATTTATGAAGGAATCACCGAACTATTGCGAACCCGATGCAGTGCTCAATTGGAATGGTGTACGCGGACGTCAGTGTTCGACAGCAAATGAAGAGTATGTGTCAACACAAGAACGTGAGTCTTGTCAAACTCTCTGCCATGGATGCGGATTTAAAGTTGTCGCCCAAAATCAGGTTACCGAACGACGTTGTAACTGCAAACTAACCTGGGGTTTCCAAGTACAATGCGATACGTGCGTGAATGTGGAACGACAATATTATTGCTATTAACTATTCTGTTATAATTATGGATAATTATTTTTTATAACTACTTAACAATATGTACAAATTATTATATTTTAAAATTAATTAATGTAATTAATTTTTTACTGCGCGCTTGCTAAATAAGCCTCATATTTTTAAAAACTCACCTGATAGTGTTTATTATGTTAAAAAAAACAAATTTACTTTATAATGTTACTTAATACTTAATTATAATTAATTCATTTTATATAAGTTTAGTTTAGTTGTAGTGTACTGTATTAAATACAAATAAATTACAAAACAATTACCATATAAAAACAATTATTTTTATAATTTTTCAACAACAAATAAACTAATCTATGTTAATTACAATTAATTGGAATTGGACTGGAAGAAGTGCTCCAGCTAGCAAGGTCCTTAATTTGATATCCGTAGGTGGAAAACGCGGTAGAGGAAGCCCGCATCTTCGACGGAAGAACCAGGTTACAAACGATTTTGGTGCGCTTGGTACTACCAACTCGATACAACAAGTCATTGATCGAGCTGGTTGTCGGAAGCTACTTGACACGGCCAAGGATGACTCACGTCTGTAATGGCGAACTAAGTAAATAAGTAATAAATTAGTATAATTAAATAAAATTATTAGAATTAATTAACTAATTCGTTAATTAACAAACAACTAATTGTACTTGTACCACATTTTGTAACAGGTCCATAATACTCTTTGTTTCTATATAATCGCAATGCATATTTATAACTTTTCTTTTTGTCTCTTTTCTTCTTCTTATTCCAACATTAATATGGTACGCTATATAAATTTTGATAATTGTACGTTGACCTACCACAAATTATAATCTATAATCAATCCCAATTTAAATATACCGTACAGTGATTGGACCGATATTTAAAAATTGATGCAATACATAAATCCTAATGGGTCACAAAAAAGAAATCACCAAGAATACATAGTTATAGATATGTAAAGTTTTTAAAGCTTCAATCAAAGGAACTGATAGAAGAACACATTATCGAAAACAATGTAAGCAAGATATAAAACATAATATTGGTATCGGAATCGTCAAAATTATGAACAATGAAAAAACAAAGGATATAATAGAAAAAAAACAAATAAGGTAAGATATAGCATACGGTATTGGAACCTTAGTGGTGACGGTTAGAGAAAGGTGGAAGTAAAACATTGTGGCGATTAAAGAAAGAAACAATGATTAGCACCAAACCGCGATAAGCAATCAATGGCAGTAATAAAGATTTTAAAAAAAAACCAACAAACCCATGTCTGAGGTGGACATCCTTTAAATTAACATTATTAGAGCACCAAACTAAGTCAATCATGGATCTAGTGTAAAACAGATTTAGATTGCATATAAATTTAGAAACCAGATTAGATAGTTGTAACAAAAATCCTACGAATTCGTTTTTGAGGCTCACATTCTTAATATTTATATTATCAGAAGATCGAACTACATAATTAACTACATATGTAATTAATCGAACAGAATTAGATATCATCTAAATTTAGAAATTAGATTAGATGGTATCTAAAATATCAAGAAAGATTTAGTGAATTATTAACGGTTAATATAAGCATACCTATTTAATATAAGATCACTTAACTTAGAAATTGTGACAAAGTATTCTTATATCTTATAGATTTGTAGGGCACAGAAGTATATGGTTAAGTCACTGTGCATTGTGAGTATTAGTTAACTTAACATAGTAAGAATGTCAATAGAAATGAAATAAAAGATATAGAATTTCATGGATATTAGTTATAGACTAATTTTGTATCCTTTTTCAGTGTTAATGGCTAACTTAAAAGCTTTTAGGATTCATTTATATATATATATTATTTTTCTCAGGTCGTTCACTTATCGGTAAAACAAATTGTTGAGAACTTTTATTGCCTTAATAGTTAGAGATAGGAATACTATGTATTTTAAGCAAGTGTCGTAACTGTAATAATATACATATATTATCGGTGGATTGATTTTATCCGTTATTTGGGAGTGTCAAAAACAGGTCCTTAATATAGTCGTTTCTTTGCTAAGCATGCTGGCTACACACAATTGCATAGATGAATGTGATGAAAATAAATAGTCGCGGATAGTTGGTCTTTTATATGGATTTTAGACACCTGAAGACTTCTAATTGAATCTCATAAAATTCTTAAAGATTACTAGCCTAACAAGAGAGTAAATAGATTTCAAATGAATGAAAACAGTTCTCTAATCACTTATGGCAATATGAACAAAACGACTTTTAACACAGGCGAGGAAGAATATGTTTCATAATGCAAAGATAGTAGACAGAATACTTGAAACGAGTTAAACTTAATGGGTTTTCGTTTGGCTATTGCAATAAATATACCCCAGACTCAACAAAGTTCATGAGCGAAAGCTTGGTCTGCGCCTAGTGATTTAAGTATCTTAAATATAGAGCATCATAAATTGGATGGATGGTCAGTTTATTAACGTTTTTTTTACTTATTATCACTGAAATCTGATTTCCAGCATTCTAGGCGTGAAGGTTCAATGGCTGGAATCAGTGGCATAACTACATTTTTTAGGCCCATAAACGAATTCTAACTAAGGGGATCCTACTAACATCTTTTTATACCGTTTACACGAAAAAGTGTAAAAAGGGTATATTAGGATTTTCGTAACGTCTGTTTGAAGTCTCTTTCAGTATTTGAACAATGTGTCAATTTATTCTGTGTATCACAATTAGCAAAGGCTATGTTTCGTCCCACTTTTGAGAATTTATTAAAAATAAATATAATGAATACATAAATTTATAATGGGGCCCCCTAAGTTCGGGGGCCCGAAAGCGTTGCCTCCAGTCGCTTCACTGTAATTACGCCACTGGCTGGAATCTTAATTACTTATTCCCAGAAAATGATTTACATTCTTTTCAGTAGTAATTATTATTAGACTGTTAATAATAATAGTAATAACCATAGTAATAGTAGTCGCATACTTTTGGCTTCTAAATATATTAATATCAACGGTTTCAACCCATTATGTCGACTTTAATAGAAACTAGGTTAATACTTTTATACATATTTTAATCAGTTTCTACTCTTAGTTCAATAATGAAGCACAATGAAGCACTAAAAATACATATATTTTATCGAATTTTTTTTTTTTTTTGAAAAATTAGATACATTTACATATATACTTAATATACATATATTATAAAAATATATATCCATATAATTATTTTATTTTATTTTTTTTTATTTATTCATCATTAAACATTAATTATAATTTTTCATATATTTTTTTTATTATTTTATTTTTTTACATTTTATATTATTTATTTGTTTTTTTTTTTAATAATTTATTATCGTATATAAATTAAAATCTTTTATTTATGTTTTTTTTTTATTTATTTTTTTTTTGCGTTTGATTTCATTTATTTGAATTTTTTTTATATAGTTATTATTTTATATAAACTATGATTTTGTATATATGTTATTTTTTATTTTATTTTTTTTTATTTTATATTATTTATTTATATTTTCTTTTATTCATTTTTTATTGTATATAAATTATAATTTTTTATTTTTCTATTACATTATATTTAATTTATTTGTATATTTTTTATTTAATTATTATCATATATAAATTATGATTTTGTATTTATGTTATTTTTTTTATTTTATATTATTTATCAACATAAATATCCGCAAGAGAAAATTTGGCTGGATTGGTCACACCTTACGAAAGCCGTCAAGTGAAGTTTGTTTTCAATTCCTTATGTATAATAAATTATGTATAATATATTATGTATAATAGAAAACGAGGAAGGTCTAAGATTCCCTGGCGCAGATCAACACTATATGAAATCAACAGCTAAACTACACACCTTGGCAGATCATACACCAATATTGATGAGCTCAGAGAAGTGACAGTAAGAAGACAAAGATGGAGGCAATTTGTAGATAGCCCAGTATAAGCATAAGCCCAGTATAGAGGCAGTTTGGAATCATGTGTTGCAAAGCAAGGCTTAATAATAATAATTATTTATTTGTATTTATTTATTATAGTATATAACATATATATATATATATGCACATAATATACATATACATAATATTATAAAAATATATATCCATATAATAATTTTATTTTATTTATTTGTATTTTTTTATTATAGTATATAATATATGTATATATATATGTACATAATATACATATATTATAAAAATATATATCCATATAATAATTTTATTTTATTTATTTGTATTTATTTATTATAGTATATAATATATGTATATGTACATAATATACATTATCATAAAAATATATATTTTTGTATTTTTTATATATTTATTATTATATCTGTTTTATATAATTAATTTATTAAATAAGAAACTGAGAAAGTTTTAAAGATTTTTAATATATAAATAATACAAATAAAAAATTATTATTATTATTTGTATAATTAGTTAAGTTTTAATTAAATGACTCACTTATTAAATAAAACTAATAGTCTATTTTATATATAAAATAATAGTCGCAAGATTGAGCAGGCCTCACAGGCTGATATTATATAATTGTGTTGTTGTGCGAAATAAATGTGGACGAACCAACATGGTAACTCCCACAGCTAGAGAGGAACTGAGAGGGGAGGACATATTTAGCCTAACCGAACCTTGTACTAAACTTTTTAAATTTAACAAGACATTGACCAGACTGACCAGTTTTTAAAGCAGCGCAGACAAGCAGGCCTAGACTGAGATATGCAGCGCATGTGAAGCGCATGCGCCGCGCTGGAAAACTCATAATCTTATTGACGCACAAATTTTCTTACGACTCCAAATGGAGTTGTTGTGTCGCTTATTACTGTTGATATTATGTCACGGCAAATAGTAAAAGAAAAATAGTAAAAGATAGTAGCGCATAATTGGTAACAAATATTTACTATCGCTTGACTTTGACCAAATCCGGAAAATCATTATATCGTGAAACAGGCACTTGAGTTCCGGTTGACTTTGTTGTATTATGGTGAACCCGCGATTATTCGGTTGCGCATTAATTTCAGTATTTTTATGGTTTGAATCACAATTTGATCGATGGAATATAGAGCTTGGAATTGAAGCAGGCATGTGTATTTATGATGTGGACTCATGTCGTTTTCGACACAATTTCGTGAAGTAACTTATGGATGTAGTCAATGTAGCCGATGATGTCAATGCTTTCCATGCAGTCGGCAGCGTACTACTTGCCATCCACTGATATGGTGAAGTGGATGCCTCAACTTTTTGCTCTTGAGTGGATATATTTTATAAAATGTTTTTTATTTTTATTTTTATTTTCTTGCCACGAAATAAGATTGTCAACGCCATCGCAGAGAGGTGACTGTATTTAATGTTGATTTTCAATTTAAAATAATTTTGTTTTTATTTTTTTCATTTTAATTTTTTTTTCCTTCTTCAAATTTTTTTGGTGAAAATTTTTGCAATAGTTAGTGGAGTTTGAGCCTATTTTTGCCACCATTTGTGAAACAAACGTTCGCGCAATCAGTTGCAATATTTAAAAACTCATATAATTCAACACGATAATCGAAGTTTTTCTAGTCGTCGGTATAAAATGGCCTTTAGGTAATAAAACTGATTAGTACCAATTAAAGTACCTAGTGAAAATTAGATAAGAGATAGAGATAATAAATATGTTCTAAGAAATTAAGATACTAAGAACCACTCTTCCAAATTATTACAAGCTTTGATTCATCTCTAAAAATATAATTGATGTTTTTATTGAGAAGAAAAAAATAATTTTTAATTTATAAAAAAAAAGTGTTTGTGTTTTAAATCAAAAAATATATTCAACATGCATCCAACTTATTTAATGTTACATTTCCCCAGATTAATAATACTTATGGCGATGGGTCTTGGCGCTCTATACATGTTACACATGCTTGCGGAGGACTACAATAAAATACGCCAGCCTATAGCTGCTGCTCGTGCCGCAACGCAAGCGCTAATGACGGCAAGTGCCACATTGGCACGCGGTAAACGTGGACTGCCTACCAGTGATAATGTCAGCAGCCCAAGGAGAAATCTTAACGAAACTGAGCTCCAGCAAACAAATCTAGATTTAACGACAAGCACTAATAACTTAAATAGTTCAAATAATGTTAAGCTAAATATCGACTGGAAGCGCATACTTTCGCGAGATCCGTTTCACTGTCTGCTTTCCTTAATATGTCAGCTTGTGTCAGGTGCTGAGCAAGATTCCAAAGATGCGACACAGATATTGAAATTTCTAGAATCGTCATTGAGTGATGTGCCGACAAAAATAAGTCGTGCCTTTAGTTGTGGGCTTGTTTTTCGCGGAGCAACGGAGCGGTGCTATAATGAATATCCATTTTGTATATATTCAGCAAAAACAATGCTAAGAATCCTCAAGTGGTTTTTAAGTTCTTCTACAGATCCAGAATAATAATATTTTTAAACATTTTATTTAAATAACATATTTTTAATAAAATAAAAAGACTTTATTTATCAATTTATATGTATGTACATATTTTTATTTATATATAAATTCATATCAATCAAATTTTATGTAAATAATCAAACTATTCGTATAAAAAATAGTTCATAATAATATTATATTATTATTATAGCAACACTATTTTTAAAGTTTGTAAAAATTATAATTTAAAATATAAATAATTATAATAAAAACATGCATTACATATAATAATTTCAATTCTTCCTGCGTAACTAGCGCCATCTATTGACGCAACATGTGAAATTAAGAAAGTGTATATGTTCCTGATAAACTGACTTTATAAACATTAATCACTTTTAATAAAGTTATGTGTAAGACTTATATAGCTTGTAGAGGAACTGAAGTAGTAAAGATAATTTATTTAAAAGAACTCCTTCCATAAGTTATGTAGATGAAGACGTAGAGAAAGCCATTGAAAACTACTTAGTTACCTATTCAATTATAGATTACAAATTTCTATATAAATAAAGAAAGAAATTCTCATGTTTCGCAGTTGTATAACAATGGATATGTGACGTCTAAATGAGCTGGTAAACTAGACTAAGTATCACATGAATTTTACCTAGCCTGAAAGACCTCTAGCACTAATTGATTAATTAATGATTTAAAACTAAAAATAAAGGTTTCTAAAAAAATACAAAATGGATCTGTGAGTTCTAAGTTAGTTGATCTACCAGACTGACTGTCACATAACCTTAACCTAACCTAGAAGAGCTCTAGAACTAATTGATTAATTAATGATCTAGAACTAGATATAGTTCATTATATTAATGTTCAAGCTCAGCTTATTTGTTTTTTAAAAACAACAAAAATTGGAATATATACGAAAATATTTACAATAATTTTTTCACAATAAAATATTTCGTTATCTTCAATATATTTAGGTATCCAAAATTAATCAGTACTCCATAATCAATCTAGGATGTGTCAAAATTGTATACCAAGTAAAAATGAATTAAATCTGCATATATAGTCAAAATACTTTATATTCAGTTACCTATATGAAGCAGTTAAGTGCAACGGACTAGAAATTAACATTCAAACAGCAAATCATATAGTTCAATAAATAGTTAGGATTGTTCCAGCCCTCATCGATTTCATAGATGCTCTATTATATTAATGAAGCTCCCAGTTACAAATGATTTGGCATGACATTTCGTTGCAATAAAGTTATGTACAATACAATACCATATAATGCATTTATAACTGCAGTTGCAAAAATAGTGTGGTGTCAATATATTCGCTTAATGATTTATCACCGTAGTTCCAAAAACCTGAATTATATATGGATATGTCAGTTAAAAGTAATATTTTATAGTACTACACAGCTACACATTTGGGTTTTTAAAAGCTTAGATATAACCAAATGCTAATTTTCGAGATGAGCCTATATTAAGTTCAAGTGGAAGTAGATGAAGTTTTATAGAACTCGTTATAATGATGAGATAAAGACTTACAATGAGTCTATAAATAACATAAGATACGTAACAGCACAGCAATTATGTTAGTTGAGGTACTTTATTATAATAAGTAGCAGTCTAAGCGAATCTGATTATAAAGATTTCATTGAAGAATAGAAGACGATATAGACTGGGAAAACGATGGATGGATAAACGATGTTCTTTTTAATCTGATATAAAAAGGTGTAAATGACTGTTGTACCCCAGTCAGTGTTCAATATCGACGTTTGAATAAGTGAATATTGTTGCAGAAACAATGATACATTAACGACAGTAAGCTAAAATATAAGAAGTTAAAACTTGCGGACTAACGCTTACTTTTAATATAGGGAAATAGAAGAAAATAAATCCATAACAAAGATATTGAAACGAAGATGTAAGGATTTTTAAACATTGGTACAATGGACTAAGAACAATGAAAAATTGCAAATTGTTGCAAAAATAGTTATCCAGTAAGCATGGAGCTTGAACTGGATTCTGTTTTCTGGATTCTGTTACTGTCTAAAAAACTTAAGAGGTGAAATTTAGTATTGAAGCATTTCATTTACTAAATTCATAGGATTTATAAAGTGCATTACAAAAGAAATGCGCAAAAAGTGGTACTCGCTTACAGCCTTGGTCGAGACCCTAATCGGAATATATAAGGAACCGAAGAAGAATATAATGTGCTTTATTATGGAGTCGCAGAAATGACAGCATAAATAAATACAAGCTATATATATAGTTTTTCTTTAATTTATTTTTTAATATAAGCAGTTAGATTAATTAATTTTAAAAGCATCTAACTTACTTACTCATTTGTACTCATACATACAGTTGTCTTATTTTTTTCTTCTTCTTTTTTGATTTTCGTACAAATTCTTTTTGTTATTTTTTTAATTTTTTTTTAAATTTTTTGTATAGATTTATATTATATACTTTTTTCTAAAATATTTTTAAATATTTAAAACAACACAATCACGACGTGAAATATAACGAAACATATATTAACGTGCAATGACGTCCGATGACCAACCTGTAGCATATATAGGATTCATTGCTCAGTTTTCCAATTTTTACAGTGGTTAACCGTTGTCATTTCATTGTATTTGAGTTGGACATTTCTAACTTCTTCTAGAAGTAAACAGTCTATTTTGTACTCATATTTTTGATAAGTGAACTTTTCCAGTTACACTTCGTCATTCCATTTAAAATGCAAGAGCATTCAATGCATCGTTGGCGTGGATATGTAAGCTTGATTTCAGGATGTGAGCAACCTGCGCCCCAATGTATTCAATAGATCTACTCGACTTTGTCAATGTTAGTTCTTCTACATCATCCCATTTCAAAGACTTTTCGGTACTCATGAATATAACAACCTGCGCTTCATCCTCCACAAATAACCTCTATGAATTTAAATATCTCTAACTAGAGATCTCTCTGTAGATTCAACAATAATAAACATATCTTCTTTTAAAAGTAAACAGTCTATTTTGTACTCGTATTTTTAATAAGTGAACTTTTCTAGTCACACTTCGTCGTTTTATTTAAAATGCTAGAGCGTTCAGTGCATCGTCGTCGTCAATATGTAAGCTTGATTTTAGAATGTGAGCAACCTGCGCCCCAATGTATTCAATAGATCCACTCGATTTTGTCAATGCTAATTCTTCTGCATTATCCCATTTCAAAGATTTTTCGGTACTCATGAGTATATCAGCCTGAGTTTCATCCTCATCAAATAAACTCTGTGAACTAGAATATTCGGAAATATCTGTCGTTGTTTGATTAGCTGTGCTAATTACTGTTTCATCAAAATCAGCAGATGTAGATTGCTGTGTTTCAGTTATTGCGGCAGCTTGTACTTTATTCGCAGAAATGGATTTTTCAGTTTGACTAACTGTGGCAACCTGTGCTTCATTCCAAGAAATGGATTTTTCAGTTTGACTAACTGTGGCAACCTGTGCTTTATTTGCAGAAGTCGATTTCATAGTCTGACTAACTGTGGCAACCTGTGCTTTATTAGCAGAATTAGATTTTTCAATTTGACTCACTATGGCAACCTGTGCTTTAGCATCAGTAGTAGCTTTTTTTGATTTGGACGCTGTTGCAACTTGTGCTTTAGACTCTTTACTTTTAGTGGATGTGACAACTTCTGTCTCGTCAATAGAAACTTTCTTTCCTGATTTTCTAGTTGTGGCAACCTGTGCCTCAGTAGTAGAAGTGTTTTTTTTAGATTTTCTAGATTTGGCATCCTGTACCTGAGTAGAAGTTGTATTTTTTTTTGTTTTTCTAGATGTGGCAATCTTTGATTTATCAGCTGATTTAGATTCTTCATTTTTTATATCAGTGCCAACATCAGTGGCTGCATCAACCGATAGAGAATTTGTGGATCGCTTGTTTGTTGTGGGAGCTTTTTTTGCATTAGATTTTCTGGTTTTTGCAACTGTAGTAGTTTTTTTATTATCAGCCGAAGTAGATTTCCTAGTCTTAGAGGGTAACGCATGTTGTACTCCAATATTATCATGAGAATTTTGCATTTCAAGAGAATCCGCAACCGGCATATTATTTTCCTTCAATGACTTCCGATTTTTTTTAACTTGAGAAACTGTAATAACTGTGTCTTCACTATTAGTTGAGGTTTTTTTGGGAATATTTGGAAGAGAAATTCTTCTCCGACCCATGGTAGGTTTTGGAGACTGTACAGCTTTAGCATTTGCCAGTGATTTTCTTTTAATTGTATTCTGTGGAAATTTTTTTTCGTTATATTATTTTTTTTTTTTAGTTTTATATAAATTTATTTTAATTACCAATTTAATTTTTACTTTGAATTGATTCGGTAATCTGTAAGACCTTTTATTTTGTTCAAGTTTTCCCTCTGATACGGAAGTAGTTATATACTTCTTAACTTGTTTGTGTAGCCGCTTAGAATCCAAAATATCTGAAAATATATAAAATATATATAGTATTTAATTAAAAATAATAAAATTTTAATGTTAATTTTAATGACAAAAAAATATATAATAGGTTAATCTTATCTTGAAAAATTGTTTAGTTTAATTTAATCCAAACCCATTGATAATATTAAAATTTAAATATAGAATATTATAGAAAACAACAATTTTATACAAATAAATATTAAAAAAGACAAATATAATAAAATAGTTCCAGATATAACAAAAGTTGAATAAGTTTTAGAGAAAATTATTACATTTTAATGCAAAAATGTTTATAAGACTTTATATAAACACATTTTTAGAAATAAAAACTAATTTAAAAAAATATACAAAAAATCTAAACAATTTTAATAAATTTTAAGAAATCTTAATTAATTTTAATAAATTTTAAGAAATTTAAAAAACTGAAAGACTAATTCATTTTTAAAAATTACATAAGTAAAATAATTTCATATATAAAAAATTTTAATGAATTAAAAAAAATTGTAAAAAATATATTTATTATATTAAACTTATATTTAATAAATTTTTAAAAGTGCACAAAAAAATGTAAAAGACTACATAAAAATATATTTCTATAAAATTTTTTAAAAATAATTTTAAAAAATATAAAAAAAATCTTATGAATTTTATATGAGTTTTAAAAACTCTTAATTAATTTTAACAGTTTTAAAAAATGTAACAAATGAAAGAATTGAATAATTTTCAAAAATTAAATAAATAAAATAATTTTCAACAAACTTAACAAAAAAATAAAAAAATTAATAAATAATATTAGAAAAATTTAATATATTTAAAAAAATGCAAAAAGTCTTAAAAGACTTTTGAAATTTAATTTTGAATAAATTTTAAATTATTTAATAAATACTTGCCATATTTTAAAAGTATTTGCTTCTCAATTGCAATAATAGATGAACCGCTCATTTTATTTAAATTCAAAATGGCTTCGTTCACCATCTTACGAGTTGATTTTCGTTTGAGTTTACCTAACGGCACGGGCTCAGAGGCAAGAACCGTAAGTAATTCAGTACCGTCAGCAACAGTTCCTAACTTTGACCCCTCATCAGATTTCTCACTGTCGTCGTCATCCAAATCAAGTATTTCAATTATTTCTGGATTCACTATAACCACATCGTCCTCTGGTTCGTTTTTCAATAAAAAAGCTCCAACATTTACAGAAACAGTGGCAATGTCACTTCGTTCCTGATCTTGGGAAAATAAAAAGGGATCGAATTCTCGCGCAAATGCCTCCTCCATATTTTTATTTAATTTTTATATAAACCACAATTTTAAATGATCAAACAATTAAAATTATTTGTAATAAAAAACTAATTTTTATTTTAATTTTGAAATCAAGAATTCTTTCATCAAGCGTTAGACTCTATTTATTTTAAGGGCAACTTCTATACGATCCACTGGTTTTAAATAGACTAAAGTTTTTAATTCTCAAATGAACTAAAACATGTTCGAAAATAATCAGTGGAATGGTTACAGTTTTAATACGGTTTTCATGTTTATAATTGAAACTGTTGTATTTATACAGGGTGATTTAATTATATGACAAAAAAAAGCTTATTATATATTAAAAGTTTAGTAATTATTTATATATAAATAATGAGGTTTTTAGAACAGTAGTGAACTACAACAACAAAAATTCATTTTATATTATTTTAATTAATTGAACTTTTGGCTGACCATATAGCTTTTTAGAATATTGCTAAATACCCATCATCAGTGGTCTTGATTTATATAAATACTATATATACAAAACATGCAACAAATAATGCCTCTACTATCAGAATAGTATTGAAATTTAACAATTAAAAATAAAATATATAATTAATTAATTCAATTATTCTACAGCTGGTTTATGGTTTCGTTCTAATATAAACACAGCAATTGAATTTGTTAAAACTTTCATAACAAGGTAACAAAACTACAAAAAATGTGCGAACATAAAAGTCAAGTACGGCTTTGGGTCAATTGGTTAAGGTGCACTGACTCTCAGCTTCAAATTTGACAGGGCACGAGTACGATTCCTGGTACTTGCAGTCTCAAAAAATTATTTACAAATAATTAAATACAAGAATTATTATCAAAACCACTGATGATGGATATTTGACAATACTCAAAACAGCTGTATGGTCAGCAAAAAATTCAATTAATTAAAATAATATAAAATAAATTTTTGTTGTTGTAATTCACTACGGTTCGAAAAGCGAGCGATAAGCGAGGCTTATTTATACCTCTACTGTTCTTTCAATTATAACACTCGGTTAAAAAATTAACTACACATCAAATGAAATTAAATGAATGCAGTCACCCTGTATATTTAGGTTTAGACCATAACCATCCCGACACTTTCTTTAAAGAGTCAACCTCTATTAGTCTAGACAATCTGAAGTTGCGGGGTATCATATTCACACCTCAGGTGAAAACAAATTCAGTATCAGTTATACTCCAAACAGTATCGAATGGTGCCTACTAGAGGTCCACTCGGTACAAGCTGGTACTAGCTGTGAGGTCAATACCATGTTTTTATATTACAATATTTTTTTGTACAATATTAAGAATATAAAACTAATGAATATGAAACCTTCAACTAAATTATAGTTAACTGCTAGCTAGAGTGTCTTGATCAGTTATAAAGAATGAAATATAATTTCTGACAAGTTATTAATTCATTAATAGCGCGAAAAGTTTTCAATTAAATGCGTTATCCAATAGAAATTGATGAATAGATCCTCTTTAACAATATAATCTATATATAATACATTACAAAAAAATAATATTTTCTATGATATCTTCCCGCAAACCTGGCTACACCACTGATTATATAGCAACTTTAATGGTATCTCTTATGTCGACTTTTCTTATTTTTTCTTTTCGTGTATTGTCTAATAAAGACTATGATATATATTAGTTATGTTGACTATGTAAAAGAATATCAAATAATTTCAAATATGTAGCCCCCAACGGAGCGGAACACTGCGGCCATGGTTGATCTTTGGTGTTGCAACAGACTCTAACCGAACAGAAGACTTTACGTCTTGCAAATGAAAGCCAGAATGTCAGCCGTTGAGGACCTCCTAATGTCAGAATGAGAGACTAGTTCTCCGCCCAGTGACCTTTTGCTGGCCCAGATCAAGGCTGACAATCTATCTCTTCGAACAAGCCCATTTTGTTAAGGTGATAACGCACTCAATGGTGACCCGTTAAATATCCCACCAGCAAACTCAACTCTGTTCTGCTGAAGAAGGATACCTTACCATAACTGTTGAGTTGAACTAGCGCTTTAGCCTGACGGTTCTCTGAAATGTCGCGCCAGTAGCGACTTCTCTCGGCTAAAAACCATTTATCAATCAGAGACACAGATTTAAATGTGTTATATTATAAAGAATAAAAATTAATTTCTAATATAGAAGACTATACTCCAGAAAATTATAGAATGATTTATTTAGAATTTTTTTATATTATTAAATTAAATAAATAAAAATATTAAATTTATAACTTTTTATACTACAAAATGTTCGCCTTAAAGCTGTATTAGTCGTATACTTTTATACAAATGTACGACCCTGTATTCAAACAGTCAACTTAATTCCAATATACAAAAACTATTTTTCTCATTTAATACAAGCTTTTTTTGATTATATGATAAAATGATTGGAAATGATACTTTTGCGATAACTGTTTAATAATAATTTTTTTTCCTTCAATTTTGTTTAATTTGTTGTTATTGTTTCAAAAATTTTTTATTATTTAATAATTATTGTAGTATCAATTATTTAAAAAAGAATTATAAAAAATTGAAGCCATGAGCATAGACACAGAGGTTGATCTATTTAAAATTGACGAATAAACACCAAATTATGAGGCAGAGTACACCAACGGTGAAGCTAATGATGATTATAAAGTTGATACTGAAACTGCAGCTAGTGTCCATAAAGTTAAGACGGAACCTGAACCTTATAAAATCGATTCTGAAGAAAACATAACTGAAAAATCAACACATTTGCCAACAAGAATATAAACAAATCAAAAGAGAGTATCTTTAACGACAGACACCGCAGAGGAGAACGATCATCTTCTAATAACATTGATTTTAAAGGTGAGACTGAAGATGAAGTTAGTAAAAATGTAGTTAATACAAATTCTCCTAAGGTTAATTCCGTAGAAAATCTAACAAAATCTAAAAAGTCTTTGCAATATCTTCAACCGTAAACGTCGCTGACCTAACATCATCCCCTGTTAGTAATATTTCTGAAGATGAGAGCGAAAGTGCAGCTACTATAAATGAAGTGATTTCAAAGTCCCCTAAGTTTGATTCTATAGCAAATTTCACTGAACTTAAGAACTCAAAACATACGTCATTGAAAAAACAAACAAATCTGTATGCAATATCTTCAATGGCAACTGCCACAGGAAGTTTATCCACTGATCATAATGATTTCGAAGATGAGACTCAAAGTGGAACTAATAAAAAGGAAGTGAATTTAAAATCTTCTAAATTTGATTCTAAAAGAAATTCAACTGAAACTAAAAACTCTACACATTTTCCATCAAGAAAACGAACAAATCAAAAGGCAATATCTTCAACAACCGACTCCGGCGAGAATTCATCATCCTCTAATGGTGGTAAATCTGAAGTTAAGAGTGAAGGTGCAACTACTAAGCATAAATTGAATTCAAAATCTTCTAAAGTCGATTCTAAAAGAATTATAAATAAAAGTAAAAACTCTGAACTTTTACTATTAAAAGCACTTAAAAATCGTAAGGCAATATCAGTTATGGTAGACGCCGCCATTTATGGATTGAATGAACGCGGAGGATCATCCACAGTTGCAATCAAGAAGTTTATTATGGGCAGATACGGTAACTACACTCAAAGAATATTATGAATATCCTTTCTTTCTGTTGTGTATAATAGTAAAATTTTTTATTCTTCCTCAAAGAAATCGGCAACTCAACAGATTTATTAAAACAAATCCTTAAATATGCTAAAATGTCGGTGATCGAGGGCAAATATGTGCCTGTTAAGAAATCATATAAATTTTCAGCCAAATATATGAGATTGTATATGAAGAATGTCGTGAGCGTTAAAGAGAAACGGAATAGTGGAAAAAATGAAACTGGTCCTTTAAAAAATGTTAGAAAATTATATATGTTAATAACATTGAGTTATTTAGAATATTGTGAAAATAAGAAATTTTTTTTAATTTAGACAACTAATTCAATTGGTTCAGGAATAACAACTAAAGGAAAAACAGCTAAAAGGAAAAAATTGGTTAATAGAGATGAAGAAAACACTAAAGAAAAACCAAAACGTCAACGACATAATGCGAAGGGTAATATGGCACATACATCTAAAGGATTAGTAGAATCTAGAAAAATGAATGTGACATCTGGTAATAAGATCGTTCATACATCTAAAGAATTAGTAGAATCTAGGAAAATGAATGTGATATCTGGTAGAGTTACTACCAAAAAAAGAAGACCAAATCTATTTGAAAAAATACAGATACTCACAAGTGATCGACGAAAAAAATATTTAGAAATAATTGATGCCTATCCTACTGTTTCAAACGCATCACAAAACGATGATATAATAAATGCGTCGTTCATCGAAAATCATGATATATCTCTAACGAGTATCGCTAATTTAGGCAGACCCCCAAGGTGGTCTGATATTCCTGAACTTACGCGTAATCACAGTAAAATATCTAGTAAATATGTAGAACAAGAATATAGAAAACGAACTAATATATTTTATACATCGACACCCATAGCAAATAAATAATATTTAGACATGCTACTCGTACTAAAACAAAAATGTTGTTAAATGTTATAATACATTTTTTGTTACTTATAAATAAATATTAAAAAAATAATTGTAATACAAATAAATTTTCTTTGTTAATTATGTTATAACACAATTTGTTAGAAACAATAACTAATAAAAAAGAAAATAGCACTACTTACTACACCTTACCATATATGTGCTTTATATAGACAAGACAGATGCCCGCCCTATGTTCCACAAGGAAATAAAGAATTAAGATGAATATAGACAAAACCCTCTTTTAGATCAGTATTTTTACAAACAATACTGATCTGTTAATCAGTATTTAGTTTTTAAACTATTTTTACTATATCCAGTGTTTCTGAGAAAATCGAATGAAACTTGTGTCTTTAAAAAATGGAGAACTATGTTACTTGGGTTATTATATTAATAAAAACATGTCTGTGGTTCTTATTTATATGTTATGACTACTAAAATAACAATGACTATAACTCAGTAGGTACATAAAATTACAGTATCAAACTAATGTTATCACTATCAGCGCCTGATATATGTAGATATACTTAATCCAAAATAATTAAAATAGTTTAATATCATACTAATGTTGATGCAACCCAAATTAGCTTTAGCACCTTTGAACAAACTATGAAACACAGAGGTATTATATTATTATAAAAAGAGGAAAAGTTCGAAGGGAATTAGTAATAGGAAAATATTATCTGCTTTGTGGTTCTGGAACATTTTCACCTCAATATGACGAAGTGCATAATCAGTAATGGTAAAAAAATTATTGGCGTTATTATTATTCTCTTGAAAAAATTGTGAATATAAATGGTAATAACGTTTGTGGATCTTATACAGAACATAGGGCAAAAATAATTTTATAGGAATATACGAGCTTATACATTATAAATGACTGTTTATTCCCTGACTACACTATGACATAAGTTGGGTTAAAACAATTCGATGAAGAGATCGAAAAAGTTTTCTTTATTCTTTTGAGTATTCAGGTATACGGTCCTTCGGTATTTAAGGCTAAAAATCCTAGCTGATATAGGACACTGTAGATATTTCCTTCCCTGAAATACAATGATCGAGGATTAGCTTAACAATATAACTGTGCAGAATAAATCTAAACAATTATCAAAAACCGGATATACATTGAATTGATACAAAAATTGAAACAAAGTAAGCAATTATAACATCAACATTATTGATTTTATTAGGGAACGTCAGCTATATGCAAATGAAAACATTTTTTATGACGATCATGTATATAAACAAATTTTTCGCAAATGAAAAAAAAATAATGCTTTAAAAAACACAAAACTTAAATTTTTCAAAAGGTATCATTGCAAATCGTTTGAATGCAGTGAAGTCTATAAATATTATATACTTCTGATGGTCTTTTTATAATATTTTGTATTCTTACTTAATTGTAAAAAATTTTTTTTTCTGATATTATTGTGATGAATTCCCACGTTATAAGTGTTGAGTGTCTTCACTTACAGCCCTTATTTATGTGCTCTCATCAAGTATTTCTTCGGATCCATACTGTTAATGCACGTCTGAACTTGATTGCATTTAAAAGTGGATTCAATCAATTTTAATTTACATTCGAAATGCTGTACACATCTCTCCCATTTCCCACACAACTTGCCTTTTCTCTTTTATTCCTTACTTATGTCGCGTACCCCATATAGGCTTGCTGTAATCCTTTCACATTTCCTGTTATATAGGTCCATGTGTATTATACCAATAACAAATAGTTTTCTTCGGGAACAAATTGTTAATTTAAATATAATAAAAAACACAACTCTTATTGGTTATAATTTTTTCTTTTTACGTTTATTAATAACAATTTTTAAAAACTACAAAACACATTTAAATATAAATTTTTAAACTTTTGTTCTTGGTATACAAATTACAAATTTTTTATAAGTGATTTGTTTTTGTTTTTTACTATTAATAACAATTATTTACACATGTATATAAATTTTATAGATATATAAAGTATATTATCGAAATTATAATTTCAAAAAAAAATATATACTTATTTTTAGAGCACACTTAATTGGAATGTTAGTTATTATAAAAGAATTAGAAGTTAAATTTTTCATTATGTGTATATATATCTTACATAAATATATATATATATATATATATATATATATATATATATTCCGATTCAAAGCAGGAATTTACAAAGGAAAAAGAAAAATATTAATTCAATTGCTTTTACAAATTTTCTGTCATTTATATTATATTATATTATATTATATTATATTATATTATATTATATATATTATATTATATTATTTATAAATATTAAAAAATATTTTAATACAATGTGTTATGTATTGAAAAAATAAAACTTTTCAAAAGAAAAAATAATTAGAACTGAATTAATTTTAATTAATTAATTACTTTTTACAAATTTTCTGACATTTATATTATATTTATATTATTTATAAATATTAAAAAATTTCTCAAATTTTAATACAATGTGATATGTATTAAAAAAATAAAACTTTTCAAAAGAAAAAATAATTAGAACTGAAATAATTTTAATTAATTATATAATAACAATTATATATATTATGTATAATATATAAAATGTTTATATTAGAAATAAACTGTGCAAAAAATTAAAATAAATAATATATTTTATTCAACTGATAGAGAAGTTATAAAATATATTTTTATTTTTATAATGCTCAATACAATATATATAAATATATATATTACACATATATGATTGATTAAATAATATAATACAAATAAAATTGAAATAATAAAATCAAAATAATATACAAATACAGTTGGACCGTTAAGCGAGTTTGTCATCGTACGAGGCGGGGTATAGGTGTAATAATAATTATATATAAATATAATTTATTGCTTTAATGACTAACAATTGTATTAATAATTTTGTTTTTAAAACTGGCAATTATTTAAACAATACACTTTTTAAAATAAGTTTTTAAAAAAATTGTGCAGGGTACCCTGAATTCGACTATGGAATATAGTCGAAATATTGATGTACAGAAAAAAATTATTTTAAAATATTATTTTATAATATTTATAATAATAATATTTGGATTAGCCTGTTTCAAAAAATAAAAAAGTATTTTTAATTATAATTGAAAAAATTGGTAATTTTCTTTTATAAATTTGGTTTGCAGTATAAATGATCAAAACTACTTTTAAATTCGAATTTAAGTAAATTTTGAAATCACTCATATACTTTATATAGCATATAGTATAACATTACCAATTTTATTTAATATAATAAATAAATAATTACAATATAATAATAAAAAATTCATTTTAATTGTATATTAAATGCTTTGCAATAATAATTAAATAATAAAGTTTAATTCTTGTAAAAATAAAAATTACTTTTCATAAAAAACTTTCTATAAAACTGAATCAGAATATATATATGTACATATATAAAAACACATATATATGGAAAATAGACAAAGAAGAATACGGTATATTCCTCTCTGGCAGTTTTGTTTAATTTCAATTATTTATATAATATAAAATAAATATTAGTTATAATGTCAGTTAAATTAATTTACATGGTTTATCTATCATTATGAAAATAATTCAACTTTTATATAAATTCAAATTTCTATATCTAAAATATATATATGTATATATGTATATATAATTCATGATTTACATTTCTTATACTTCATTGACTAAAAAATTAATTTTTTGTGCTATTGCAAAGCGTAGTTTTATTATTATTTTTTTTTTGTGCATTTTAAAGTTAATTTATTGCGTTTATAACATATAGCAATTTCATACATACATTTCTAAAAGTGCTAGACATCACTTTAGCATATAACAACTTAGCTGATAAATACTTTATAAATACAACATTCTGATATTGATGAGTAATATATATATATAATAAAAATTAAAATAAACAAAATTATTATATTAAAAAAAATGTATAGGAAAAAAGAGAGATTAGCAGTTAAAATAATAATTATAATTATATATATAGATATACATATTCCTTTACATAGAACTGTAGTTGAGAGCGGTATTCAGAATTAAGAGAGCATCATTTTTGCTTTTAATTATATATCATTTATATTTATTATATTTATTATAATAATTTTAAATATAACATTAAGTATCTTATAAAGATTTATTATATATAATGTGTAGTCAGAAAAGTAATGAGTATTTTAAAGTTAAAATAGCGGAACAGTTATAGTGTTAGAAGATATAATAATGAATATCTAAATTCATTAATAACAAAAATACATCACTATATAGTGATGCATATAGTTATATGCGCTATCTCTCCAGAAACTCATATAGGAGAAGATATATGTGTGGATTTGTGGACTCATCAGTTTTTATATGAACGATAGCGCATTTAGAAAAATACAAATTTATATAATATTGACTTAAAAGTGTTGCCACAATATTCAACAAAATAAAATGCGAGTTTTATTTGTAGCACTGCCTCTGATATATATGGGTTAAAAATTAGAACCTACTATTATAATAAATGTTCTTTCTGCACTCGATGTTTACAATTGGATAAAGTAAACTCTATTCATTGGACATTTTTAGTTTATTTTATTTTGGATATCAGAAACGTAAATCCTTTTTTCATTTTGCCAATAATTGTTTTAAAACAAAAAAAAATGTTATAATTCTTGAATAATATAATGTACATTTTCCGAGTTTTGAATAGATTAGTCCAAATTTAAATCAATATAATACTTGCTCAAATAAATTGGTATCATGCAAAATCATAAATTAAATATAATATGCTTAATACCCTTTTAAAATTAAAAAAAAAAACATCATAAAAAACCGATTTGATGGGGCAGTTTTTCATATTAAAACTCCATGAGTTCTTCTTAATTGCTTAATATAAATCTAATTAGCTTAAATGCAATGGACTATGTATGGTTCAAGTTAACAATATTTAATAATATTTAACATTATTTAAAAAATAAAAATCTCTTAATCGGTAAAGAAAGGTTAATTAGTATTTGTCGTGAAAGCCTAAAATATATAGGCGAACTGAAGTAGTAATAGTAAGATACAGAGGTTTAATACTTTTTCGACTACACATTATTTTCTTTGAGTCATATAGGAAATTTTTTTAAAAAAAAGTACATTTGTTCAGTATAAATATAATTGCAAATTATTAAAAATTATATTTATTAAAAGTTAATACGTTGACAGAGTCAAAAAAACAGATTATCATTGAAATAGAGTATTTAAATGTAAGCAAATATAAAAAAAAATAATAAAAAATATTTAATAAATAAATATATTCAATAATAATATAAATTTAGGTGTTCTAACAACACACACAGACAATAAATATGAAACTAAAATGCAAACAATAAAAACATCCACAGTACATTTTCTTCAAACGTATTCAGAAATATTTTAGAATATAAAATATAGAAGTTGCACTTTCTATATATTTTGAGATAATAGCAAAACAAGAGCCCAAAAACGATCATAGGGACGAGACCATCTAATTCTACTGAATGGTAAAAAATACAACTCTGCTCATTTAGAAAAGCATAAATAAGAAATCCATGAAATTTAAGAACCTAAATAGCTTACAATTAACGTATATGTCTTCTTACCAATGAAAATTTAAATGTTGTATAAATATATAGGTCATGTAAGCGTGGTATAACTCATATATTACCTTAGTGTCTTCTATGTAAACATTGATAAATTCACTTAAAAGATAGTAAGTCAATAGAAGTACGGGTTTTTGGCAAGGCAAATTAACGAGAGGCCACTATTTCTCACTGAACCAAAACTTTCAGAAATTTCAATATCGCCAGATCTCACTCATAAGAAATATTTTATATAGAGTAATTGTTAAATTTGCTAAAGGACTTATATATTGAAAAAACACGATACCCACATCCACAAATTAATAAAACATCAATACTTCACACTAACCCAAAGTTTTGAAAAATTCAGATATATACATAAGATATCCACTGATTTAATCGAATCTATATTTATACATAATAATACCCGTTTAACAGTAACTTTCAGACTAAAGCCATATTTTATAATCAGAATCAGAAAGAAGTGTTCGAAGATCATTGTTTGAATCTGTTACAATCCGTTTAAATCTGTTAACACTCTATATGTATAATAAAAGATCGAATTAAAGCAAGAAATAAATGCTTTTCCCTCATCAATCTATATCAATCTATTCCGTTCTAAACTATGATTGCTAGAATTTTATAAACTTCTTAGTAAAAGACTTAGTCTAATTCAGAGAAAATATATGGTCGGATCATATTAGAACTATATATAGGTTCATGAAGAATCTACTTTACGCTCGTAGAACTAGTTAACCACAAAGAGTTATACATCCATCCCATGCTGGCCATTGCAACTTTTGTTAACCTTTAAGAAAAAGATTAATAGAAATATATTTGATTCGTTATTATATGGAGGTGTATACAGAAAAAAATTCCCTGTTGAGCTTGTAAAACTGGTCAACCAAAAGACAGGTGTAAACCCATCCAATTCTTAACTATTTTTGTAAGTTGTGGATTCTATGTGTTGCAGATTGCAAACTCTTATTAACCTTTAAGAAAACAATTAAGAAAAAATATTTGATCGGATATTATATGGAGGTGTATACAGAAAAAAATTCCCTGTTGAGCTTATAAAACTGGTCAACCAAAAGGCAGGTGTAAACCCATCCAATTCTTAACTATGGTTGTAAGTTGTGGATTATATGTTCTGCAGGTTGCAAACTTTTACTAACCTTTAAGAAAAAGATTATGAAAAAAATATTTAATCCGTTATAACATGGAGATTAATAAAAACCTTCCTTCAAGCATAAGACGGTTATACGTTGTATGAGATCCTAATATTTAAGATGGGTTAAAAACATTATACGTGTGATAATGACAATGTGGTGTCGTAAAAAATGCCTATACGGGTTTGAAGCAAGAAATTACCCCAATAACCACTGGTTAGACGTAGTAGAAAATAACTTGAAACAGAAGATCGCTAAATACTATGATTTCAAAACAAAGGATTGATCAGTATGGAGAGAAATTATACAGAGGGCTTTGACCCAACAATAGTTTTAATGGTATGAAATTAATATTAGAAGATTATTTCTGATTGTCATGAGTCGAATAACTTCTTATAACCGGGCAATCGTTAATATGTTCAGCATTTTAGTCAATGTATTGTCTTATCCAAATAGCTTTAATTGCACACTTTTATATATTATAATTGTGCAATTCTAATTAAATCATATATATAAATTTTTTATATAAATACTTTAATAAATAAAATTAATAAATTCAAATAAATTACACAAAATATATGAGCTTCGTTTCAAGATTGAGATTAAAAAAAGTTAATAACTTTATGAACATTTAATATTCAGAATTTTCATTTTTTTTTTGTTGTATATTAAGAATCACTTTATGTATGAGAAACAATTTAGTAAATTAGGAATTACTAAAAATAAAAATTGCTTATGTTGAAAAAGCAACATAAATAATCTGTACTTAATGGTTCAGAGATTATAAGTAAAATAAAAAATAAAATTCCTTGAAAGAGAAGGTCTTTGTTCACGTTTTTCACTTACAGTTCAAATTTTGCACAACCAAATTAAATTACATGAGGAAACATACTACGGCCATATTTTGGTTGCATTTTCTTTGCTAAGCGTCACACTTGTCACATCTTTTACAATCATCTCAGCGACTTGCCATGCTATCTCCTCCTGCACCTTTTCCTCTGGCAGATTGACCAATTTGCGCATTGCGTTTTTTATTTTAGTACCACCTTTCGCCAAAGACCAATTATACTTGTTATTGCTGCCATATGGCTCCTCGAAATCCCGCTCATAGCGTCCCAACGCATTGACGCTACCAAATTTAAGGCCACCTTCTTGAGCTGTACTACGATGCCATAGAAGATTCGGATTCGTCAAATGGCGTGCATCGATACTTAAGTTCGTACCAGTTGCTTGCAGATGCTTTAGATGTGTGGAGTCCATCGCCAGGAGTGTATTCTGTTGTGAAATATGTTTAAATAATTCGCGTGTACTTTCATTTGTGCAATCCGACAATGCTTTACGATGACAATTTTGGGTCTTGCTATTCGTACGACGTAAACTTAATTTGTGAAGTAATATCGCACCGGCACCAGAATTTACACTTGCACTCGCACTTGCAACAGTTTCAGAAACAGAGTCCAACGTACTATTTGCCAAACCATTTGCTAAATTGCCTGTGGTTGAGTCTTCGTGTATTTTAGTTTTAAGTTCGTTAACATAATTTTCGAAAAGCTGCGAGTTTAAAAAATCACTGAAATACTTCTGTTCCAAATACCTCGCTGTAATTTGCAAAGGTAGATCAAAGCAGTAAGCCACATAACCCTCCGCACATATACGCTCTTCAACCCAGCTACGCAACTTATCTGATAGCCAGAGACGGCATTCAGACTGTAACGAGAAGAACCTCTCGTAGATAATCATAGCATCTGCTTGTATTTCACTTTCATTTTTTGTTCCCACTGCAGTTATTATCGTTGGATTACTGTAACTTTTGCGAAAATTTATGGCCGTTGTCCAAAAGTCCAGACAATCACGTTCACCACGCTGTTCCAAATACTCCATAAAAAAGAAGAGCGCCACTTCACTGTAGAGTATATCATATATTGTCAACTTTCCATCATACTTATCTATAGTTGTGCCCTCAATTAGTTCAATACAATATTTACAATAAAAAGTGCTTTGCAGAAAGTCATTGGAGTAGTCACGGTCCAATTGGTGCAGCACGTACTGTTGTGCTTCATCGAAGCAACAGGTTGATATCGCCGCTGCTGTTTCGCTTGTGTTAGCATCGATTTCATCTGTGCTAACAGTGGCTTTATCGTCGGGTCGTTTGCATAAGAGCAATGATATTTGCGACAGTAACGCCACTGGAAGACTAACAAATAGCACTGCGTTCGCGATTAAATATTTTTGATAAATTACTATTGCATCTTTAGTGCTAGCTGCGCTTATCCTTGAAGTTGCTAAGCTAGTACTGAGATCTGGTTCCGTTGTAGTTGTACTTTCACTGCAAAGTGATAATTCCGAAGTGGAATTAAATTTTTGATTTGTGCTTTTCGAGATTTGTTTGTTTGTCTCAGCGTAGATCTGACTCTTCTCGTCATCTGTTAAAGGTTTACGCATCGACAAATCATAAAGCGTTTTCAATTCAGGTACATTATTTTGCTCCTCCTCCTCCTGCTCAGTATCCTCCGTTTCGTCAGTATTCTTTAACGTACTGCATACACAGGTCACATTGTCATGGTCACAGTTTGTGTATACTTTAGTTGGCGTATGTTCCAATGATGAACTCGGTTCGTCCTGTTGTTGGCATTTGTGTTTTTCGCTGTTGTCTTGTGACTTCTCCAACTGTGCTAAGGCGGCTGTTTTGAAATTCTCAGTGTCCAAATAGAATTTTATCAATGATAATGCGTTTTTAGTTTCTAAATATTGGACAAAATAACTAAGACATTTTTGATCATTGACTATAGATTCCAGAGATATCGATAAGCGAGACTGATATTTGAAAATATCTGAAAATGAGAGAAAAGAAAGGATTATTAATATGAAAATGATTAAGAAATAAAAAATTTTGAATTGTACTGGATAGAAAGAAGAGAACCGAAATACTTTTAATATCAATAAAACCCGGATACAAGTGAAGACATCCAGCTCCCCCTAAATACGAAATCAAATAGGCTAATTCAGTATAAAAAGCGAACAGTTCTTGTCGATATCCAAACCTCACTAAAATTATTTTTAGAAGACCCCGAGTCTACATACCTAAACAATTTTGCTATGAAAGACGGATAGTTATTGTCGATATCCAACCTCACTATGATTTTTTATAGAAGATCATGAGCCGACATAACTACATACCTCAGCAACTTTGATATGAAAGGCGGATAGTTGTTGTATATATTTTACCTCATTATGATTCATTCCAAAAGTGCAAGTTATATAGTTGATTTTCGCGAGTGTGTATTTAATAAAAGAGCAGAGTAGTAAAGTAAAGTAGTGAAAATAGAATAACATTTGACAACAATTGTGAATGGCATTTACACGAATTAATGAGCACTCTGTCAAAATGTCGACTGATAGCTAATGCATAAAACCCATCCTACGCATTACATATGTTAATCCTTTTGTGTCCCCTTCATATATGCTGATACCTTTGTGATGAATCGAAATTCAATCTGGTTCGTTTAGATGAAAAAAGTTTTATACCTAGACAAAGAGGTCTCAATCTCTTAATCACAAACTTACAAATGACTCGGTTAAAAATAGTGGAGGCGACCGATATTTGGCTTTAATGGCAAGTAAATCAGCTATGAAAGCAAGTGACTATAAAGAGTTTATCACGTTATGCTCTAATAACCGTCCATCCTACACTTTGCAAATGTCGATGCCTTTGTATTCTGATGAATTCAATATCAATCTGGTTGGTTTATATAAGCCAACCAGATTGAATTTCAAAGAAAGCCAAGAGGCGAATATCTTTATTCTTAATTTACAAAAGGTTCGAGCAAGCATTATGATAGGAGTACCATAGTATAGGAATGATTTTCTGGATAAGAACTTGAACCGATTTATAGCATAAATAACACTTTAAAAACAAATGTTTTTTCTTTCTGTCGTTATGTTTTTATTCATTCCATAAAAAATGCCTCCTTTTTGGATGTTTCAATATGAAAATTATCTTAATCGCTCACCCAAGGTATTTAAAAGGCGGATAAAAAGATCAGATAAAAAGATTTTTGTATATATACATATACTAGTATAAATTAATTTATTTCTGGACTGCTAGAACGGAATATCCGGTACTAAATAAAATATTTTCTATATAAAATGTTAGGAAGCAGTTATTTTTTTTAACTATTTCAAATATTTAATTTTTAATTAAGAATAATATTTTGTAATAATTTCCATGAAAAATGGCATATTTAATATGATAACAAAAGTCGAATGACACATTTAAAATTATTCTTGATGTTCCCTACACTTGATACAATTTAAACTTTTTAAATATAATAAATGGCAAAATAATATTTCTAAAAATAATATCTAATATAAATAATAAAATACATTAAAACAAATCTTTAAAAAAAAATCATTTCTATATCTTTCCAATCAATATAGCAATTGAAATATTCAATATTATGAATCCAAAAAAATTTTAAAAATTAAAAGTCATAAATATATATAGAATTATTAGTTTAAACGTAAGCCCAATTAAAGCATCCGCTAATTCAAAGTAACATCTACTGCTATTCGGTTGTCAATCGGTTGTCAAATTGACAAAGACACAACGTTATTGAGATATTTGACCAGCAGTCACAATAAATAATATTATCATTGCCAAATTGAATGAGGTCTTATATGTGATCAATCGCGCTGAAACTGTCCAAGACCGTGTCATCATTCTAACTTAATTTATATGGCACTCAAATAAAGTTAAAGTATATATTGATATACGGTTGAAACGTTAAAAGTAATAGCACTCAGATGAATTTCTGTTTAGGACTTTCAGTCCTGTAATAGCTCAATTTCATCAGTGATTTCTTAAGTAATTCAGAAGCAGATTTATCTAGTTAATTTGATAAGTTCAATGATACGATTTAGATTTGAGAAAATCTAACTGATTTTGCACTGGTTCGGAGGTGGGAAAGTACAAACAGTTTTGCACTGGTTCAAAGATGGGTAAATCGATATAGTTATATCGAATATCCGGATATAGTTCAGAGTTGGGAAACTCGAACTGATTTAGCACTGGTTCGGATACAGTTCGGAGATGAGAAATTCAAATCGGTTTTATACCGATTAATTGTGCAATTAAATGTCACAATTGTTAAGTCAACTTCTCTACTGAACATACTAATCACTTTGTGTTTTTAAAGATATGAACTGCACTTTTTCTAATTAAATTTTTTCAACTTATTGTTAAATTTTTAAAGATTATACTCAATTTACGGGGGTATGAAAGTAACAATATCTTCTCTTTCTTTTCAAGAAGGCAATATGAGGCTGCATGTATGATATATAACTTTATCTGTTAACACAGCATATATCAGCGCTTTTCCCCATAATTTCACATCTGGGTACGTACATGATTCATTAAATAAATAAGCAATTAAACAATAAGCAATTAAACAATAAACAAAAAAAAATCTACGTATGACTTTGATTAATTATAGGGCATATTAAAGTCGACTTATTTTAACTACATTTATTTAGTTTGTTTTGTGTTCATTTAACAATTCACGTTTTGTGCACGATTTTTTTCTAAATGTATTAGTCATAAGCACCAATAAAAAATTGAATCATTTAATATTATTAATAAAATGTTTCGTAAACAACAATTTTACTACAGCAAGAAAATAAACAAACCTCAGTCCACATTTTATTCAATAGAATTAAAGAAGAATAATAAAGTCTAAAGGTAAGGTAAGCTAAGCTTTCTTCTTAAAGTTGATTGAACTTCATTAGGTTTTAATAGACAATCTTTTTCATTATAATTTTTACCTTTTCATAACCTGAAGAATGTTGAAATTTGTGCTAAAGAATATCGAAGAAAGAGTTAATTGGTTTTGTTGAAAATAAAATATTTAAAAAAGAATTAATTGATCGCTTTAAAAATTATTAACAGTCTGCAGAAGAATGGAATATGTATACCATGCCGGCTAAGGTAATGACTGCGAGAAAGCTATTATTATGAACTATGAATATATTGAACTTTGAATTCTTTTGTAGAAATTCATTAGATGTGACAATAATAATAAGAGTATATGTATAAAGCATAAATAAATATACTTAATCAATGTACTGAGACTTTATAATATATATTACTGTAAATCCGCATTTTCAGATTTTAAATTCTTTATATAAATGGTTCTCAATCTTTTCTTCATCAAGGTCCACTACGATCTTTTTGTTTTTAGTAGGGGCCACAAACTTCAGTGGACAAACTACAAGCTATGTATCCATAGCTATTAAATTTCATTCACTGACCATTTTTAACTATCTCGCCGTACACCGTGAGATAGTTTATATTATATAGATCACTATATATCAAAGTAAGCTTTATTATTCTTCTTATCTCTTTTATCTTTTTATTTTTGTTTTTTTAGTATTATTTCATATATTCATAATTTAAACTTCTGTTGAGTTTTGACATTGTTTGGGGTTGCAGTACCAAGTAAATATAGAAGATTAAGCTAGATGAAGATTTAATAAGATCAAACTTCTTCTTCATTCGTTTCTCTTAAAAAGACCAGTTTTTAGAATGATTTTTCTTCAATTTCCACTACACACAAAGTGCCATATTTTCAATAATTTCGTAAACTATATCTTTATGTTCACTTACTCACAGAGATCCTGTTGGAGAAGACTTCTTTAATAGGATACACATACAATGTATATATCCTGACTACTGTCGACTACGAAACTTTTAACATCTAACCAGGTGGTTATATTAACTAGCCTTAACTGAATAGTAGTCTCAACACCCCACGTACATCTTGTGAACCACTTCTGTTTCTGATTTTAATAATTAGGATATGGGTAATTAATGATATGTAAGAGGAAAGGGAAACACAGATTGTAGATGGATTCGATTTTAATTGAAATCAACATGGGTCAAAACAATTTAATGAGATGAAACTACATTTCGTGTGTGCATTGAGACATACAAACAAATAAGCGACATCATAGAGGGTAGAGCTGCAGTTAGAACACACATTGGCAATTAAGGTCGTTCTTTCCAAGGCCTATTAAGAACTTTGTAGTAGTGCGACCCTTGTCAAGAAGAGGATACTGTATCTGTGGGAAAGGCTATTAGTGCATGTTTGTATTTGACCTCACTAATGTGGGCTTCATTGCAATAGGAATGCAATGTTATTGGTCATTGTTTCTTTCAGCTAATATAACACCTCCTATATTTATATCACACCAAAACTCAATTCGTTTTTACGTTTCCCTTATTTCTACTTTAGCACGAATAAACGAATATAGTGATTTTTATGGGGTCCAAGAACAGCTGGGTCTCCGTCCGGGTGACACTTGTAGTTACACCACCTTCAAAGGCAATCTGCAAGTATTTTCCAGCGGGTTCCGACAACAACAATATAGTGTTTTCCACAAAGTGTAACGGATCAGCTGATTTCTTACATCACAATAAGAAAACGTAAATGCGTTAAAAATAAATCAGAACTATTGGCCTTAACTCAGGGATGAAGATATTGCTATATTCTTCAAAGCTTTGATATTGAAATGAATCGGCCATGTTTTAAATTTCAGAGGAGAAAAACAGAACAGAAAATAATTATAGCCTACATACCACTAATATCAGAAAAATAGAGGATGTCTAGGTAAAAGGTTATAAAAGGGGATCAACCAGTGTTTAAATTGGAAAACTGCAAGAGAAAAGAACACAAAATAATAGGGAATAGAGCTAACTAAGCAAAAGTTGATGTTAATGATGAAATTCATAACCAGCGCTCGTCCTTCCTTGACAGGACACTTCCCTTGCGTTCACTGATATCATTAACAGTCGTTCATATTGTAAATAAGTTGCAGCAAAAGTTAATATTTTTTGTTGTTGTTAAAACAACAAAAGAAAATACATTAATATAAGTATTCTTAGCAATTAACGTTAAACTTTAGAACTGAATCTGAGACTTCCAGTTAAAAAGTAGTTCCATTGCGTATCTAATTTACATAAATGAAACGTGTTCGAAATGTTCTAAAACAAACTACGCACTTTTAATAAAATTTGCATTCCCCCCGCCACATCCACTGAACTGCATTTATACTATTTAAATGCACTTCACATTTCAGCAAACGGAAAATTCCCAAAATTATTAAATTTAGAATTTCAATCACATTCAAGTGATATGTTCACCATTCACTGTCGACGTCGGCGTCTCATAACCATTTAACCACCTGTGGGAATTTTTTGCTGTTTCCGTTCCATACAATTGTTTTTCCCTCATGAATTGCGTTTAATTGAGTTTAATTAACAATAATCGAATTTAAGTAAAATTAAACCTTACCTTCATCCGCATTGCAGTGGTTCGTGCAAATGCTGCCACTGCCCAAACTCAGCCCACCACCGATGCTCGCCACATCCTCATCACAGGTTTGCTGTTGTTCATCGGCTGCATGTCCAGCTAACTCCTCCAGCACTTCATCACAGAAACTTGATGTCGAGCGTAAAGAATGTCGTTTGTTGTTGTTTGTGCAGTTGTCATTGTTATTGTAGCCAACGTCGCAGTTTGTGCCATCGATGCTGCTGCTGCTGCTTATACGACGACCTAAAATAAATTGTTCAAATAATGTTGTATACACAAATAGTCGTTCAAAAATATACTATAATTTACACTAATTTTTTGTGATTATTTATTTTTTATTGACACCAATTTAGCTGACAATCGTGGCACTATTTTTTTTTTTGTGTTATTTTCTTGCTGTCGTTTGCGCTGCCACTTCTTTCACCAAAATTTGTTTTTTTTTTACCAAAGAATTATTTTCTGTTACTTACTTTTTTGTCTTTTAAATAATTTTAACATTGCCGCGTTGCATTAGCTGTGTTTTTTTATTTATTTATTTTTATTCACGCATTTATAGTTAATATTGCTATTTTATTGAACAGTGCGAAATTAACGTACACTTTCTCACCATAGCGACAACGACACCACTCGCCGCTTCCGTAGTCTTTTCATTTATAATCTGTTGTTAGCTTTTGTTGACTGTCAAGTTGCAAATCGTCATAGTGGTGATAATAAATCGATAACATGCAATCGATTGTAATATGTTCAGTCAAGCAACATGTTCCCAACATTTGTGTTAAATGACAGCGTGTTCCCATTGAAACTAAAACAAGTTATTAATATTAATTTTTTTTGTCGAAAATGACGCGTCTTATAAAGAAAAGAAACTACTTAAAAGTTAGAAGGGTTCGAAAAGAAATGAAAATGTAACAATAACAATAATATTGATCAACTATTCCCAATTGAAATTAGCAAATTTGTAGAACAACAATTGCATCGCTTCCTTATAAAATTGCACCCATAAAAGAAGCCTTACTTACTATATGAAGTAAAAATATGCATAATAGATGTCTTTGCAGAAAGAATAGCTTTGAAATAAAAATTGGCAATCTCAAGCGTTTACTTTCAATTCGTTGAACTTGTGTTTCCAAATAAAACTGTAGTTTATAAGTTTGTCCTAGTCACTTAAAAAAAAAATAAAAAAATGTGACAAACCTGGAACTTGAGCATTGAAAGTTTGTGCAGTCTTATATGGCGTTTACACTGGCCGATAATGGTTTATTTTGAATGAGCCATTTAAAAGTGTTTACATTTCTTGTAATTCATTTGTTCTTATTTCAAACAGTTGATTTTTCAACTTCCCTGTTGATTTGAATCCACTTCAAACCTTACAATATAAACTGAAAACTTATTTTTAAGAAGTTCCAAAAAGAGTAGCATCGTTTTCAAGGAAATGCAACCACCAAGCATTTGTTTGCCTTTTTTTGTAAATATGTCAAAAAACAGCTTTCTCAAACTGTAAAAATGCTATGAAAAGCTTTTATTTAGGGTATGTTGGATCTCATTTGCGCTTGAGATTTTGTATATAAAAATGAGTCATTTGCTTTTAATTTTTGATTTTTGACCAAAATGACCCTTTTGAAGCAGTGGCGTAACTACAGGGAAGCAACTGGAAGCAACGCTTTCGGGCCCCCGAATTTAGGGGGCCCCACTATTAATTTTTGTATTCATTGTATTTCTTTTTAATAAATTCTCAAAAGTGGGACGAAACGTTTTTTGTTGGAATAACTTCATATTGCATTTTATAAAAGATACGTAAATTTTAAATTTAAAGTACATAATATGTATGTACTTCAAATAAAATATTAAACCTATTTATGAAATAAAAAAGTTTTTCTAAGAAAAATATGTGTCTTGATCGAGAGTTTATATGGAAGCTATATCTAAATTTAAACCCATTTGAAAATAATTTTGTACGTTGTCTTTTGCAAATATCAGTACTGTATACACTAAATTCCATTTGAATACCTTTATTAAAAACGGAGAAACCTCATATCCGATTGTTAAGTTTATATCACAGCTACAAGAAATAGACGTCCAATTTCAATCAAATCAAATGGTGAACAGGGTGCGCTCCCTGTGTATAAAGTTTCATTCGAAGAGTTCAAAAGCTGAGAGAGTAGTTTGAACTGTAAAAGTATACTGATATATACTTAATGGTATTTCCGAAGTTTCCTTTAATGCTTTACGAAAATCTTGACAAACCTTATATACCCTTTTTACATTTTTTCGTGTAAAGAGTATAAAAAGAGGGGCCCCTTAGTATGTTGGTAGGGGCCCCTTAGTTAGAATTTGCTTACAGGCCTAAAAAATGTAGTTACGCCACTGTTTTGAAGCCAGTGTAAATGCCGTAATAGTTTCATCTGGAAAAACACGATTAGTCATCGCTTCTAATTTGACAGGCACGAGTTCTAAGCCAAACACTTGTATTCTAACAAATTATTTACGAACTATAAACTAATTAAAAAATTCAAATAAATCCTAAGGCCATTAATGATGAGTACTTGACAATACTCGAAACAGCATTGTATGGTCAACCAAACTTCAATAAATTGAATAAAATTATTGTTGTGGTTTTTTCGTTTCTATTAAAACAATTTATATTAATCAAATTAAAATTTGGTCGTTTACATTGGCACAAGTTGATTTATGCATGTGAAAGTGGTTTTATATGTCAAAAAGTTCTGTAAAAGTTTTAAGAGAGCTTTTATTTGCTTACATTTGAATTGTTAGCAGATAATAGGTCTGTTCCACGAGCTACTCGTAGTAACTTCGAGTAACTCTGTGTATATGTAAGTGCGTTCCGGCAGTAAATTTTCGAATAAATAAGAGCATCTGAGAGAGCTTAACGTATCTGTTGAGATTTGAAAATGTTACACAGACTTTACTCGATGTGTGAATCAGTTGTTTTGGTTTGAATTTAAATTTTCGAATTGTTTATTTATGCGAAATGGATCTAAAAACATAATAAATATTTTGTTAAATGAACTAAGTATTAACTAAGTAATACACCCAGCACATAAAGTAATTAATATTCTTCGAAATAGTAACATTAATGTAACTTTAGAATTACTAAATTTATTATTATATAAAGGGAAAGAAAACGAGTGTGTTAAAAATGACATACAAGAAGTTGTTTCGAAATATAACGATAATGTATTCAAGAGTCTTTTCCGCATTGCGCGGAGCCTATTTAATTCTTAAGTTATAAAATTACCCCGCTTTAGCAACAAACTGTTGCGATACCTCACTCACAAATTCATCATCTATTAAAAAACGCACTAAATAATTGCGATTTACAATGTCTGTTGGTGAATATACCATAACATTTTTTCTTTTCGACATTGTCTGCAATAATAACATAAAATAAAATTTTATGAATTCTAACTCATTCTAACTCTAACTGAAAACAGAAATATGACTCACTTTAATATAATAAAAACAAGTATTTAAAAATATTTGCACTTCTTATTACAAAACTTTCTTTGTTTGTTATTCAAAAAACAGCTGCTCTTACCAGACTTTACAAAAATCTGTTCCTTGAAAATCTGTGTAAAGAGCGCAATTTGGCACTTTACTCTCAGTTTGTACTTTACTTGTGTTTTACTCGAGTTTTACTACGAGTCGCATGTGGAACAGACCTAATATTTAGTTTTGTGTTGTTAGCAGAAATTATTTTAATTGATCATGGACAACACATTAATTGCAAAAAATGTTGTGTATGTTTTTTTGTATAATTTTGTTTACATTTAAACTTTGAATTTATTTATCGATCTGTATTTTTTTTATAATGATTTATTGTTTATTTTTTAACTGACTATAGGTCACTTTTTTTCAATAAAAATTAAATTGCCTTTGTTTGATGTTTTTTAATTGGTACTATATTTCGACTCTCTTTGAGAGTCATCTTCAGGATCATGTTCTACAAAGATAATAATGACAAATTTAATTACAATATTGAAAAAGCAAAATTATTATTCTGATTATTATTAAAAAAATGCAATTAGCATAACATACGTCAACAATTTCGAGAAAATGGATGAATTGCTGGACTCTTGTTAATATGAGTAGTGAATATTATTATTATTCAATGAAATGTAAAATTTAAACCATAAAAGCATAAAGCATAAAAAACGCCATCAATTTGTTATAAAAAACATTTCTGTATTTTAAAAAATTCTTATATTCCTGTCAAATATATTAAATTTTTATAATTTTCTTTTTGGGAAATATATTTTACAATGCTGCATTTGACATTTTTGGTGCTATTTCACTTAATTTATTTTTAACTTAGTTGATTTTAATGAAGTTGCAATTTCATTAGCAACCTAATACCACGTTTCCACTGCAGCTAAAAAAGACTTTCGTTAATCAAATTAAGATTTAATTAAATCACAAATCTATTTTTAAATATCTATTGCAAATTTAATTTATAAAAAGAAAATGCTTTATTAGATACTAATATCTACAAAAAATAATATATATAAATTGATATATAAAATAATTTATATATATATTCATTTTATACATATCTTACATATTTAATTAATGTTTCCTTGTGGCCCTATGCTTCATAAGGAGAAGAAGACTACAATAAGTAAGTAAAATTCATAAAAACAGAGATTTTATTAAATACTTACTTTTTCAGTACGTTTGTTTATAGCTCAACTTCTGTTTGTTTACATTTTACATATAAAATGAATTTTTTTCCTTAAATGAGTTGATTTATTTATAATGAGCTTAATTTTATAAAAGCTGTTTGTAAAAGCTCTTTGAGCAAAACTGTCTAAATGAAACCAGTGGAAACATAAACTGGCCTAACGAAGGCAGTGGTTTTCTTTATTAATAAAAACCTTAACGTTTCATTATTGACGATAAATTTTTACACATGTTGACTATCAAACGGACTTTTATATGTGCCAAATTCTTCAAATTCATTCAAAACGTAAATTTGTGAATTGAATAAAATATTTTAAGATTTTAGTATTTAAAAAAAGGTGGCTGACGAAAAAATGTTTTATTAGTTTGAATCATGGCGCAAAGCTCTATATCAAAGAATAAGTGAAGAAAAATCTCCATTTCCAATTGAAATATTTATTCGTGGAAAAAGGGAAAGAATAAGTCTGGAGGATCAAGTCAAGCAATGCCTAAAAAATGCTAAAGCCATGCTTCTCCCTGTTGATACTGAGTTTCCGCTATCCGGCAAATATTTGTTGAAAACACAAAGCGTTTCATATTCTTTAGACGAATTTAGAATACTTGTTGATTTGTTGTCAAGAAACGAAGAGATGTTTTGTCAATTTGAATCATCGCACAAGGTTAAAGATTAAAAAGTAAGTAAGGAGAGATTGATGGAAAAAAGGAAAGAAAGTGGATCAGATCAACCAATGCCTAAAAAAATGCTAAAACCATGCTCTGTTGATTCTGAGTTTCCGCTATCCGACAAATATGTGTCGAAAACACCA